ATACTCAAAGCACCAGGAACTAGGAAACGGAAATCTGCTGCCTACAGTCTTGCTCACTTTCTTGGAACAAGCTCAAAAATGCTACTTATTTTTTGCTTTAGTCTTCTCTCAGAATCGAAACTAAGGCTGAATACCACCACCCAAGAGCTTTGCATCTTCTGAAATGAAATTCTCAGTCTTCAGTTACATAGTTCTGCTGCTCACTTGGTTTCACTTTTCAGGATCACCGTACTAACACTTTGCTGCTTTGAGAACAATTTCAGACAGGTTTCAAAAGAAAGAGCTAGCTACCTGTGGCTTCCAACTACAATTCTAGCTACTCAGGAAGCTGAGATCTAAGGGTCAGTTTAAAGCCAGCCTGGGAACGAAAGTTCATGAGACGTTTATCTCTAATTAAGTCCCCCAAAAGTCAGAAGTGGAGATGTGGCAAGTCTTAGAGGTTTAAGGCCCAAGCTTTGAATTCAAGAGCAGCAGTTTTTCTCCATTTATTGGGTTATAAGAAATGGAGGTTCCAGTTTGCTTGGAAATCTAAGAGGCAGGTTTAAATATTTCTGAACTATAGGAGCCAGGAAGGGAGATTCAACATAGAGTTTAAAGTGGAAAGAGACAGGAGATCCAAAGTCAGTCCTCTAGACAACAGAGCAGGCTAGAACAGGCCTTACCCCTGTAGGAGATCCAGGTCATGGCATCAAAATGTTTTCTCTAGAAACAAATATGTACTTTTTCTTTCCCTTTCAACCTAATTTCATCACATCTTGGCTTCTCCATTTGCCCTCCTTGCTCAAGTCAATGGGATTGAGAGTTTGGGTGTGTCCCTATACCCCCAACAAGCACATAAGGGGTTTCAAGATATCAATTTGAATTTGCATATTTCATGATGTTGATAGCTCAAGGAGAAAAGATCTTATTGTCCAGATAAACCAGCTTGTCTGAGGCACAGTGACTAGAGACTACTGGCTAAGGCCCAGCAATGGGCTCTGAGCAGTTTCCTCAATTGGGGCCACACCAGTTTTCCTGCCCCTGAACTTCCTGGTACCTGGGGCCTTCCCTGGCTCCCTAATAGCAAGCTCCTATATCTGGACAAAATCCTCTGCCAGTCTAGCATGGAGCCTTTACTCAAAACTCCTAGAATTAGTCAAGAAAAGCTAGAATAGATTAGTTTGAAGTCAGGGGCTGCTAAACCTCTCATGTGACTGGGCCATTCTACACTGTGAAAATCTTCACAGGAATGAACCATGGTTAATTGCACTGGATGATCTGAAACTACATCCTCTTGATGGCAGTAGTGCTCTATACATGCTAACAAGGTCTCCTTGTCTCCCGCCCTTCCTGAAAGAAAAAAAGTACGCCAAACAACCAAGACAGCAGGAAACATGATGGTGGTTTTGCTTTTTGTCCAATTTGAACAAAACCTCCATCTCACAATTAGCTTTCCTTTTGAATTCCATCTGAAACTAAACTGAAGGTAAAAACCACCACTCTTGGCAGACATTTTCTTTTTCAACAATTCAATTTCTGCCAGCAATGGTGAGACACCTATAATCCCAGCTACAAAGGTATGCTGAAACAGGAAGACCACGGGAGCCAAGGAATTACAGGCCAGCACGGCCAACACAGGCCCTACCTCAAAGGAAAAAAGAAATCTATTTGCACTAGGTCTAACCATCACAGTTCTATTCATGTCCAACTAACATTACTATCACTAGCATCTTTTCTAGAATCTCTATCATCAGTCTCTAGAATCTATTCTTAAAAAGGAAGAAGGCTACGAGTACTAACCAATGTGTCCTCACTTGGCTCATCCCTAAGTCCCTCAAGGAGTACTGTGTTTTTAAGATAAAGACCTAGGTCCTGGGGTTGGAGGTGTGGCTCAATTGGTACAGCACTACTCAATGAGCGGAAAGAATCATTCTAAGTCCAGGTCTAGGACTAAAAAAGAAAGATAGGCCTTATGTGTTGAAATGTTAGCAGCCATTTGTCTAGGGTTTTAGAGGACCCCAACCATAAGAGAAATGTATTCCATTCACCAGTTACTCAAGTGTTTTGTCCAGAGATATCATATACCACTGGAGAAAAGCACTTTCTCATTGCCATAAAATAAATTTCAACTGCTTTTTTTGACTTTGTTAGTTGTATGTGTGTCATCATTTATCTTTGAAAGATAAGTTTTAAGACCTTTTTTTCATTTCAATCTAAGTCATAGTGGTTGCCCAAAACTGAGAAATAGTAAGTATTCACTAAGTACTATCATAAAACCAGTCAAGACCACTGATGACATTTTAGATCATGTCCTTGTTAGTCCTTTCAATATACAACAAAAATATATTTATATTAAAGATTGGGTGTTGGTACATTATGATTTGCATACAAAATTTTCACTCTTGACTCTTGAGCAACTTGAAAAAAGTATACAAAAATTTTAAGTCTTCACTTGAGTAGATATACAAAAATGTTTCATATTGCACCATTTATTATGTTTTATATATAGTATGTATAACTAGACACTGTGGCTCATGTCTGGAAATCCTAGCTATTCCGGAGTCTGAGATCTAAGGATTGCAGTTCAAAGATAGCTCAGGCAGGAAAGCCTAGGAGACTCTTATCTCCAATTAATCACCAAAAAGCTGGAAGTGAAGCTGTGGCTCAAACAGGAAAGTGCTAGCCTTGAACACAAAAGCTCAAGGATAGCACCCAGGCTCTGAGTTCAAGCCCCAGGATGTGCATACACAACATTAAAAGTGAGGTCTTTAGGGAGCCGGGAAGGTGGCTCAGTGGTAGTGCTTGCCTTGCATGCATGAGGCCCTGGATTCGATTCCTCAGCACCACATAAGCAAAAAGAAAAAAGCCAGAAGTGGCGCTGTGGCTCAAGTGGTAGAGCGCTAGCCTTGAGCTGAAGAGCTGAGGGACAGCGCCCAGGCCCAGAGTTCAGGCCCCACGACCACCCAAAAAAAAAAAAAGAATGACAAAAAGTGAGGCCTTTAGGGACTAGAAAGGATATGGAAGAGTTCAACAAGACCAAGGGGGAGTAGTAAGAGGAATAGAAGGGGTGAAGAGGATCAATGCCCATTATACACATGTATAGATATGTTTCAAGGAAACCCATTACTTTGTACAGGTTAACAAAAAAGAGTGAACCTATCAATTTTCATGTTTGTAGCTGTGCATATTTTAAATAAAATTATATTTTTTTCAATTATGTATTTGGATAACATTGGTTTGCCATTTTAAAAATTTCAAGTACCTTAAAGTTTCGGATATTATCTTTACTTCAACATTCGAAATTTTTAGTTAAGGGCTGAGGTCATGGCTCAAATGATAGGGCACTTGCCTAGAAAGCACAGGGCCCTGAGTTCAAAGTCCAATACCACCAAGGGGAAAAAAAAGTGAACTATCAGAATTATCACTCTAGAAACTTACATCATTGTTTGGTTAACAGATTTCCAGATACTTCCTTGATACCATTTCAGTCATTTTAATCCATATTATTGTAACCAACTTGAAGTAATCATGTACATAATAAGTAAAAGACTAAAATAAGGCCAGAAATAAGTTAAAAAGCAATAAAGTTACAAAAGTAAAAATTTGTTGGCTTTTTATTTTGGCTTGTCATGGGCTTAAACTCAGGATCTTTGTGGTATTCTTTTTTTTTTGGGGGGGGGGGTCCAGTTGTGGGGCCTGAACTCTGGGCCTGGGCGCTGTCCCTCAACTCATCAGCTCAAGGCTATCGCTCTACCACTTGGGCCACAGCGCCACTTCCGGCTTTTTTCTTTTTGCTTATGTGGTGCTGAGGAATTGAACCCAGGGCCTCATGCATGCAAGGCAAGCACTCTACCACTGAGCCACCTTTGTGGTATTCTTAAGCCTTTTTGCACTCTACCACTTTGAGACAACTCAGCGCCACTTCCAGTTTTCTGGTGATTAATTGGAGATCAGAGTCTCAAGGACTTTCCTGCCCAGGCTAGCTCTGAACCATGATCCTCAGATCTCAGCCTACTGAGTAGCAAAGATTACAGGCGTAAGCCAGCAGCACTCACCTTTGGTGACTTCTTAAAATTTTATTTCTCTTGCATTCAACAACTGGAATCATTTAGTGTGAAGTTTTAACATTTTGTTCTCTTTCATCTCTATGTCAAAGGTGTGAACATCTCCCTGATGAAGACGTAGAAGGTGGATTTAAACTTTCCCCAAAGCTTCAGAAGATTATTTGCTAGTTTAACCTGGAAAATGGACCCTTTGCCCTTCTTGCAAGAGAACCCTCAATGGTCATCCTCTCTATTCTCCTGTGGAGTATGGCTATGTGGTACTTTCAACAGGCAGTCCCTGGACAAAGGCATACTCATGCATAAAGTTAGCCATCTGCCCTTTGAAGAAGTGAATCAATTCACGACATTTCTCATTTAGTAGGAACTTGTCCAATTCTACAATTACTCAAATGAAGGGATGTTAATAATTGTTTTTATTGAAGTGTTCATTTCTAGAAAAAAGTCTGCATAGCCACTGTAGCAGTTATCTCTTGGGCCTAGAAAATGCCCCCAGACCTTCAAATTATGTATAGCTTCATTTCTACTAATATTCTGGAATTGATTGGTTTGGCACAACGAAACATATTCCTTTTGTTCAAACCTTCCTTGTTTTAGTGGCTCTGAGGCACCAGAAAGCTCACCAGTTGATGTTAGATGATACTGAAGCCCCTCCCCCAACCTCAGCTTTTCAACACTGGTGACTTGTCCTAGCCTACTGTCTATGGGGCAAACCAAGGAGACAAATGTCCAGAATAACTCCCCGAAAGATCTAAGACTCACTAGCTAGGTATCTACTGTATTGACAGCTGCCTACTGGATCCTGTATCCCACTCCCTAGTAGGTTCTTTTTCAAGAACCTGCTTTTGCTCAGAGCTCCTGATTTGAAATGAAATATGGCAGCTCAGGACCAAGGTCCACACAACTTTACAAAAGGCTCAACTTTTCTCAATTTCCCAGCTTCTCAGAATCCTCACTCACAATTCAGGGTTTTGACAGACTCCTTCCTCTTGATGGCAGTATTGCTCTGGGAAAGCCTCCTGGGCCTTTCTGCTCCAGCCCATTCAATCTGAAAAAAAGAAAGGAAGGAAGGAAGAAAGGAAGAGAGGGAGGTAGGGAGGGAGAGGAAGGAAGGAAGGAAGGAAGGAAGGAAGGAAGGAAGGAAGGAAGGAAGGAAGGAAGGAAGGAAGGAAGGAAGTTAACAATAGACAAAGTTGTCAGAAAACAAAGCTACCAAGCCATTTGCTTTGTTTGGGGACAAATCTGCCTATTTTGACCACTTTTGCTACTATGTCCCCATTGAAATCAAACTGAAATCTTTTTCACTGTTTTGTAAACTCTACTTTGTTTTCTAGAATTCCATTCCCGTTCTACCAAGGCCTTACTCTGCATTCAAGCTTGATTCCCAACATTTTCCCAAGTCATTTGCATCGGTGAGAGATTCTCAGCATTCCAGGATTAGGAAAGTAAAGAACTGGAAATGGCCTGGGGAGAAGTGCAAATCTAGGCACCAGATCAGGTAATTTTTCTCACGCCGGAATCTCTGGGAATCATCCATTTTCTGACCTGAATCTTTTGTGTTCAGTTGTAGGCAGCCATGGCTAAAACCTCACAAGGAGGAATTAGTTCCCAACTCCAAAGTTCCTATTAGAGTCACATATATAGTTGAATTTATATAAATTTCAGTTTAAAAAAATCATGTTAGCCTCATACTTTAATCATTTATTACCATAATCATGTTTCCCACACACATGCTGATATGGCCTTTAATGGCTTCCTATGAACTTATATATATATGTATGTGTATGTCATAACAGTTAATGTTTTCCCATAAGTAAACCATAGTGGTTGCAAAGAATTTAGAAAATCACCATATGTTGATCAAAATAAAAGCACTATCATAACATCTTACATTAAGCATCAATATTCTTTCAACACACACATAATTCTCTATTGATGGGTGATACACTACAACAATGAAATTGGGTTTACATATGCATCACATTTTAAATGTAAATTTTTCTTTTATAATGCCCGAAAAGTCTGAAATTATCTTGAAACATTTGTAAGAGTTAAATTGTAAGAGCAAAGAAAAATTTCCAAAGAACAACTCATTAAAGAATATTGGGTTCGGGCTGGGAAGGTGGCTCAGTGGTAGAGTGCTTGCCTTGCATGCATGAGGCCCTGGGTTCAATCCCTCAGCACCACATAAACAGAAAAAGCTGGAAGTTGTGCTGTGGCTCACATGGGAGTGTGCTAGCCTTGAACTAAAGAGCTGAGGGACCGCGCCTAGGCCCAGAGTTCAGGCTCCAGGACCGGCAAAAACAAACAAAAAGAATATTGGATTCTCACTTTTAAATTTTACTCATAGAACATAAAATATCTACAATGCCACCACTGCAGAATCTTAATATCAAGGCCTGCTTTATCTAATCATTGCTATGTACTAATGAAACCAGCACAGCAGGCTTATAAATTAAAGATTAGTTTTTATATACATCTTTAAAAATTATACACGGAAGTGGTGCTGTAGCTCAAGTGGTAAAGCGCTAGCCTTGAGCTGAAGAACTGAGGGACAGCACCTAGGCCCAGAGTTCAAGCCCCATGACCGACAAAAATAAAATAAAATAAAATAAAATAAAAATTATACAAACTTTGGATCTTCACGTTTTGTTTTTAAAAGCCATAGAGAAAATAGGATTCAATGAAGGTGGAAACTGGTCGTTTTACAAACTAGTTAAAGAGAGCAGCTCTCAAAGATTCACAACCAAGTGTGCAACAAAATAACTATGTTAATTGGCTTGACTTTGGTAATCATTTCAGTGTAAACATATATAAAATGGTGTTTTGTCTTACAGGTATCCAATTTCATTTGTTAACTGCTAGAAAAATTATATTGGTTTAGAAAGGTGTCATCTTTCCTATTCTTCACCGGAATCCACAGTCCTTCAGTTACATCTCTTTATATAAACGTAAGCACAATTACAGGTAAGACTAGTTATACTGAGATTTTTAAATTGTACCATATGTTATTAGGTTTCACACTGGCCATAATTGTAAATATAAAACTGTTTAAATGTTTACACATGAGTACTTTCAAATAGCCATCTATGCATGTTTGCCTCTCTCAAAACATAATTGCATGCTGATTGGTGGAAAAGTTTACCTGCTGCTAGCAATGTATTCAAATGTTGAGAAATTATCAAGTAGCTAAAGTAGAAAGTAAAGGCACCTAATTCACAAGAAGAAGCAACCAAAATCAAATTCTGAAAAAATTGTTCTTGTACTTGGGGCTTTAAAAAAAAACATATCCTCATCTGCAGCTTAAATACATTCGAAAATATCATTAAATATCCTTTGAAATACTGACATGCTGTAAAATTCTGCCTGTTTTTTTTTTCTTTTCGTTTTAGAGAAACCATCACAGTTCTTTACAATGTACCTGCTCCAACAGCCATGCAGGAAGAAATGAAGCATGATCACAGGTCACTCCACCTCAAGCAGACTCAAACAGACTTTTTAAATGTTGACTCACCTTCAATCCTCTTCACTTTGTTGTTGGCCCCCATTGGTTTGTGCGTGGCTTGCTCTCCCTCTTGGCAAAGACTGGATTGTTCCATTTCTCTTCAAGGCCCTTCTAGCTCCAAGCAATCTGGATGCTCCTAAGATTTCCATTTCCTTGAAACTGTCCAGTCCTTTTGCACCCTGACTCCACTACCTAAAAAACAAAACAAAAAACAAAACCCAAAGCGCGTGGATAACACGTGTCCACCATCCAGGGGCTGGGGGGGGGGGGCAGGGAGAGGAGGCCGGGTACTTTGTCTGCTGGTGGCTTTCCCTAGTCCCGCCCACACTAGGAGGATACTTTCCCAACCCAGAGCTTCCTCTATGTGCACTTCCGGGCAATTACAGGCTTAAAGTCTTGCCTTCCCAGGGGCTACCTTCCGCTCCACCCCCCACGCGGCTCAGGATCAGAAATAGATCTGGCTGTCCCCAGGCCAAATCATGTTACACGCAGTGTGGATTTTTCCAAGTTTAAGGAATAGGATCCTCCCCCTCCTCCATCCTCACCCTAAGGAGGGAGACTTGAAGCTTTTACAAAACTGTCCTTAGGATGGCAATGTTGTCCCAAGAATTTAATACTAATGTTGCTTCTATTCCCCCCCACACACACATTTCCACACACACCCCCACTCCCCTTCCCTCTCATTCAATATTAAAAAAAAAAACAAAACTATGACCAAGAGACAGAAAACACCAGAAACTATAGTTTTGTTGTGCTTCTTGCCCACGGTGAAGAAATCGCTTCACAGGGTTGTAATTCTGCTCTGGGTTTCCTTCTGAAAATCAAATCAAGGTCTAAACCTACTCTTATTCGGCGTCTTTTTGGTTCAAGAAGTTAATTTTCTCCTATTGAGTTTTCACAATTCTGCTTTTTCTCCACTCAGCATATGTCTCTTCACATTGTTGTCATGGTACAAAATTGTCTTGGAGTAACAAAAGACAAACGCTGGGATCCAGGGCTAGTAAGAAGAGAAAATGGTCACACCTAAGGGCTTAGCTCTTGTTCGCAGCTGCACGCGTGCTTCTTGACCTTGCTTGCTTCCCACATTCCCTGTGGGGCTTACTCTGTTTGCTGACCTGGGTATTAGCCCTGTATGTTGATGAGAAGCTATTAATTGTCTGGAACTCTGAGTTATGTGAATAAATACTTGTTAAGACTTCATATTACAGATAGGGACAGGAGTGAGAAAAATAAGAAAATTTTTTTTAAAAGACTCCACACTACAAGTCCCCATAGGAGTATACACATACTCAGCATAAATTCTAGTTTGAGGAAAATGATTTAGTCTCATTATCAAAGATTAGAACACTGGCATGTTTACAGTCATTAGTATTCAGGTAAGTGGCTTCTTACGACTTTATTGTGTGAATGTCACTTAGGAACAGATCTCATAGTATTTTCTCTTAAGGCATGCTACTAATCAAGAGTAAAACATTATCATCCAGACACCAGTGGCTTACACCTGTAATCCTAGCTGCTCAGGAGGCTGAGATCTGAGGATCATGGTTCAAAGCCAGCCCAGGTAGGAATTTCTGTGAAATTCTTATCTACAATCAACTACCAAAAACCAAAAACCCAGAAATGGAGTTGTGGCTCAAGCACTAGAGCACCAGCCTTGAGAACAAAAGCTAAGGGACAACCCCAGGCCCAGAGTTCAACACCCAGCACTAGCACACATATGCACAAAAAGTAAATCACTGTCATAAACATCATGCATTAGTAACTACTGGTGAGCATTTAGATTTTTCCAACACACACATACAAAATCAATTTCTGCATACTCATTTCAATGTAGACACATAAACTATGTTAAGCTTTGTATAAAGTAAGTTCATATTACTATAGTATATTCTTGTATGTCCCAGTTTGGTATGATATTTTTACCTCTTTCCTGGGCAGTCTAAAATCACCATGAAAATTTGGATGACCTACGTTTTGGTAAATGAAATGCTGGCAAAGAGCTCTTTGGCACATTCACTCAAAATATTAGAATATCAACAAATAATTTTTACATCATTAAACACTTTTTTAAATATCTGGAAATCTAATGTTCATGATCCCACCTTCAGATATGATTTGAAGACATGTTTTCTAATCTTTATTATGTTAACATGTACTATATATATAGTACTATATGTCTATATAGTATTATATATAATATTAATATATTAATATTATAATAATTATGTAATTAATATATTAATTATGTTAATAATATATTAATATATAATATATTAGATACTATTTATATATAATCAATATGTTAATTTTATATTAGTATATATACTACTATATATATAGTAGTATATATACGTATACTATATATAGTATATATATATATGCATATATAGTGTGATATATACATATAGTACATGTTAGCATAATATACTATATATATCCTCTAAATATTGAATCACAACTATACACATGGGATATACCAATCTACTATATTTTTCCCCTTCTTTTGTGGGGACTGCAGTTGTGTTTGTGCATG